GCTGCCGGCTCCAGAGCTGAGCCGCAGTGCATCGCTTGAGAAGTGCAGGCAACTGGGTGAGTGGGAAGACCAGAAATCTTGTCGTTTGTGGAGAATGGGGGTCGGGGGAGCCATCGATTGACGCTTCCGCTGCCCTCTGGCAGGCAAGTTCATTGGGTAGGACCATCTTGGCCATCCGACCCCCAGCTGAGGTGATTTCTTTGTGAGTCCCTCTCCACTTCTCCCTGGAGGCATGCTCCTGGTGGCAAACAGAAGCAGAGGTGGGGAAGAGTTCTGGGTGCTCCCTAGGTGCAAGGTGCTACCCATTCCCGCATCAGACCGCCAGGGTTTAGAATCTCCTCCCCACCCCCACCCTGCCCGGCCCGGCTTGCCTGGCTGGGCACAGGTTCAGATCATGATGACAGTTGGGCACAGTTGACTTGATTTAGCTCCAGAATCCACTTTATCAACAAAGGAACGGGAAAGACGGTCTGGAGGTTGCCACAGGGTGCAACCCCCCTAATTAACCCCCTTGTCCAATAAGCCACCCTTTCCTCAAATGGCTGTTGGTCTCTCCACTAAAGCTCAGCCTCCTGCTGGACCCCTGAGAATTTAAGAGGATGGGTCAGGGCCAGCCTTGGCCAGAGGTGGGCCTGGCTTTCGAAAACTTCTATTTCCTGGTCTCTGTGAGCCACAGCATCACAAGATGTGACCTGCCTCTGGGCAGTGCTTTTGGCCTCTTAGCCCAGAGGCTCCTTTGAAGACAGATAGCCCCAGCCAGTCAGAGAAGCCAGCTGGGTCTCTAGACCATTACACCGCACCCCGGAGACCCACAAGAGAAAGGAAAGGGCATGAGTTTGGTAACATAAGGTCAGCAGCCACCACCTACCCTAGATGACTCCTCCTAGGCTGGGCTCCCGGGGAATCTGGGTACCTTCCTCAGCAAGGGCCTCTTCAAGAGACCTGGGGTTAGCATATCCGCTGGGCACTGGGTGGATCTGGAAAGAGTTGCATCCTTCGCTTCCAACAGGGAAGTAGAACTGGCCTGTGACTCCAGCGACCATGTTCTGGAAGGGATGTGGGACTTGAAGGGTATGTCCCCAGTCTGGCTAGACAGATTGACAGTGACACACCTGATCAGACCTGGAGCACTGGCCTGGAAGCATGCAGCCTCCCCAAATGTGCCTGAAGAGGAGACTTCCTGTGCAATGGCTCCCGGGGCCTCCAGGGACCTGCTGACTCCCGCAGCCTCCCAGCTGATTCCCAGCTTCCCAGCTGGAAAGGCTGTTACAGAATCCCAGGAATGTGCCTGGAGCTCAGAAAGAAAATTCCCAAAATAGCTTCTATAAATACTTTAGGGCAGGGGTGGGGAGGAACACTCAGCTTGGCCCACAGCTGGCCTAGAACTAAGGACTGCTTCCCAGGGTAGACGCAAAAGACGATAAAGCCGCACCCAACCCGGCCTGGCCTCAACTCTAGGAAACACCACGGGCACTGGATCAGTGGGGTGAGACAGAGGTAGTGTTGAGTGGCAGAGCATAGGAAAAGGCTGGCAAGACCCTCTCTATGCCAAACTGTAGCCTCAATTCTAACCTGTAGCTCCACAGAAAACCTGGCTCCTAACAGGGAAATGCCCGCATCCCCCTCGGTTTTCAGACTGCCTGCTTTGGGGGCTCGGGGAGGCCTGAAGTCCAGCCCAGGAAGCCCTTAAGGCAGAGCCAGGTGTCCTTGGCTCTGCGTCCAGGTCCCTCCCCCCTGGCTTCTGTCAAGCTGCTGCCCTGCCTAGAGCAGAGAGGCTGGCAGGCAAATGGCACCGTCCCTCTCCTCCTGGAGGACAAGCCGGGGAGACACGCGAGAGCCCCACAGTAACCTAATGTGATTTGGAGGTGGTGTCTCTTGAGGCTTGCTCTCCTCAGGAAAGGCTTCCTGGGAGAGCAGAGCCCTGAAACGTGGATATGGGCAGGTACCCGCCCTGAGAGCTGGGGAAAGAGGGCCTAGAGACAGGAACTTCTGGAGGCTTTGAACACAGGCCTGTCCCCCGGTGGTGGCTGTTTCTAGCCCAAGTACGCCTTACAGCTATAGTATTCCATGGTCACAGATGACTTGTCCATGGCTACCAAATCCCTGTGACTCGGCAGCCCAGTCACGGCACCCCAGTGAAGGGTCAGCAGCTAAGGGCCTCTTCACAGGACTAGATTCCTCTCAGCCGACAAGGGACAGCCAGGGAGGGAGAGAGGACCTAATGGGGACATGCGGATGGAACTGAGACACCAGTTCTGTGTTCCCACCATCTCCCTGGAGACCTGTTCCCGCAGCCCACGAAGCGTCCCAGAGGGTGCTGATGGCCCCTGGGGTAGCGCCAGGCTGGGGACAGCAGGTGAGACCTTGCATCTTCCTGTGGTTGGGTCCCACCCAGCTGTCGGGCAGCAAACAGTGCCGAGTTGCTACCAAACACAAATGCTGCTGGTGTCAGGGGCAGGTGGCCACGGATCCTGTTACAGGCCCTGGGCCTCCAGGCCTTAGCCTGACCCCGGCCTGGCCTGGTGTCTTCTTTCAGGCTCTAAGGTCAGCATGTTGGGGCAGGGGGCCATGAGCCATATCCACGGCGCAGCCCTCCCTAACGGAGGATCCTGCCGTCTCCCAGACGTGGGCAGTGCTGGCCTCTCCCTGCCCCACATCCCTGTGCTCCTCCTAAAGAGACTGTCGTGTGCCAGCTGCCTACCGGGTGTCTGGATTCTCCAACTCCGTCCTTCCGGAATCCCAATGGCCCTGTGAGGAAGGACTGTCCCATCTCCAGGTTCAGATAGGGAAAAGAGTGATGTCTGTTTGCTGGGGTCACAGTACATGTCAGTGGCAGAGCTGGGATTCAACCCAGCCAGGCCTTCTGACTGCTGAGCTCTGGGCTTTGTCCTCTACTGAGACACACGTATTCAGCCTGCAGACACATCTGGCTCCTTCCCAAACACCCGTTCCCCTTTCTTTCTTTCTTTCTTTCTTTCTTTCTTTCTTTCTTTCTTTCTTTCTTTCTTTCTTTTTTTCTTTCTTTGTCATCCTGGGGTTGAATTTAAGGCCTCCCACATATTAGACAAGTGGTGTACCACTCAGCTACACCCCCAGTTCTCTATTTTGATATGACCTCACTAAGTTCCCCAGGCCAGCCTGGAACTCTGCTGCCCACGCAGGCCTTGAACTTGTCATCCTCCTGCCTCAGCCTCCCAAGTGGCCGGGATGACAGACTTGCACCACCAGGCTCAGCTAGAGATCCATGGGATTTCTAACTCCTCTGCAGTGGGACTCTTTTTTGCCAGTAAAACTTGCTGTGGAGGAAAGTGCCAGAAAGCAAGCTCAGAACACCCTCTCTGGTGGGCCCTGCTGGCCACCTCGGGCCTCGGTCACTCCCTGCGGTTAACGCTCACAGGCTCCAGACCTCCCGTTTTCGGGTACCTCATTTTGGTGTCTGGCAGTTATCAGCTAGAACCTTCCTTTCCTCCACCCTATGGGCCCTGTTCCATTGCGAGCTACTCAAGGTCCTGCCCTGGGCCATGTGGGCAGGACAGTGTGGCCTGGGGCACTGCTGGCCAGACACACACTGCCCCTGCTTCCGGCAACCCTGAGTCAGCCCTGCTGAGGTTATACCCTGCCCCCACCCGCTCTTCTACAGCCTCCCTGGAGATTGCTGAGCTGAGTAGTTCCTTGGGTGTGTCTATGCTTAGGGTCACAGGAGGGTGCCATCCCGGAAGTCAGTTCTGCCTCCCTGCTTTCTGGCCCCGGGGCCTGCAGCCCACACCTCTGGAGACAGCTTTCCCTGGTCTTCCCGAGCACCATCTTTCTTGCCTAATTGGTCATGTTCCAAGCTCTCTTAGGACTTTATGAAGTCAGCCATGTACATCTTTCCTGGTGCGTCTCCATAGAAACCAAAGGCCTAACTAACTCTAGGGAGCTTAGGGAGGAGGAAAATAATCCAGCTAAAAATGTACATGGCCGTCAGTGGGCGGGCTGCAGAGAGGGGGCTTCGAGCACAAAGACAGCTCCCCACACCCACTCTGGTCCCCTGCCTACCCAGGAAGTCAGAGCTGGAGGTTTACCTCCACTCTTTGGAACAAGAAAAGGGCCCACTTCTCAGCATCTTGGGATGCCTTCAAAGCTTGACAAAGGGATCAGTAGAATGGTCCGTAGCAGCCTTTCTGGAACCCGAGGCCTTCCCTGTCCCCCGTCACCATGTCCCTTGTCCCCAGTGTGTGTGTTGAGGGGGAAGGGGGAGGATGTTCAAGGCTGCCAGCTCCACTTCCCACCTGCTTGGTGACTGTTCCTGCACTCCCTCTAGTTCTCTGGTAATAGTTATTGGAGGTAAACTGCAGGACCACGCTTCCTGCCTCCTGACCTGGACACCCAAGGTCTTTCATCCCGGAGCCCCGTCTAACTCTGACCCTGCCCCTCTCCCGCCCCTGCCCCTCACCTGCCAGCATGGACTCTGCTGGGTGCTCAGCTCTCAGGACCCAGCTGTCCCCAGGATGCAGATGTAAGCAGAGATGCTTCCCCTCTTTGTCACAGACTAGATGTGCCTTGTGCTCTCAGTGCTCCTGGGGTGAGGGACCGCTCCCTGCTGCAGGCAGCATGCTCCTGGCGGGATGTCTTGGACAGCTTTGTAGCCGCGGCTCATTTCAGCCGCGTCATCCTAAACAGCCATGCTGTGATATTTTTCATTAACTTTTCCCCCATTTGCTGAAGAGTGAACTGAGGGCCTAGAACTCCCCCCATGGAGCCACTCAAAATCAGGTCTAGACTTGAAGGCCTGTCTCTTGAAGATAAAAGGAACCCAGTTCCTGCAGAGCTGAAGCAGGGCTTGGTCGAGGACAGATAGGTTTTGCATGAATAAAGGGCATGATCATTTGTCTGTGGCCAAGCCAGACCTAGGGCCTCTCCGGCTGGTGGCCAGGAGCAAGCCTCTGCTGCGCTCACCCTGGTTGCTAGGCTCCCCCTGCCCAGGTCTAGTTAACCCTGCCCTGTGCTGCTTTTTCTAGGGTCTGATGCTGAGTCAATTGGGCCACAAGAGCCTGGCCCAGAAGGTGCTGCGGGATGCTGTGGAGAGGCAGAGTACCTGCCATGAAGCGTGGCAGAGCCTGGGTGAGGTGCTGCAGGACCAAGGCCAGAATGAGGCTGCCGTCGACTGCTTTCTCACTGCCCTGGAGCTGGAGGCCAGCAGCCCTGTGCTCCCCTTCTCCATCATCCCCAGAGAGCTATGAGCCTCCGCCGCCGCAGCTGCGGGCTGTCCCGTGCACGCTGCAGACACAAGCAGGGGCCAGGGAAGGACCCCTGCACTCAGGTGCGGGGCCTCAGGGAATAGATGACTAGTGAACATTTCCACAGGCTGTGAAGCCAGTTCTGCACCCCACCCCCTGCAGGGCCAACTAGGCCTGAGATCCCCTCTGAAGCTGGGTGGGCGAGATTTGCATCCAAAGCAAATGCCTTGCTCCCTGGAGGCTGGCATTGTGATGTTGCTGGGCAGGGGGGCCCCTTTAGATAAAAAGGTGTGTTTGGACCCAAGCTCCACCCTCAGCTTCCCCCCCCCCCCATTTCCTGGTTTGGGATGAACCAATCTTGAGTTGGTGTACCCGTAGAAATGAACCTGCCAGCTAGCTGCCCTCTGGCTGGGCCAGGCTTTTCCTGGCCTTTCTTGGTGCCTTGGGAGACAAACTGGCTTCAATCTAAGTGACTCTACAGAGCTGTGGCAGGCTCGAGAACCTCCCAGTCTCAGGGCAGGGCAACCTTGAAGACTGTTCTTGGGCCCTGCCCAGGACAGCCACAGCGTGAGGTCTCAGACACAGGTTCCTATAGACTGAATTAGCACTGTTGATGCCCGCTGTTGCCTCCGTGGGGAGAGGTTTCCAGAGAGCTTTCTCTGTGCCATTAAGTGCCTTTGGGGCTCATGACAGGCCAGGCCTCCTAAACACAGTCCCTATGTCTTCCATTTTTACCCACTCCCGTCTCCCTGGAAACATGCCCCAGCCAGTAGGCTCCATGGACCTCTAGGATGGGCCTTGGGATATAAAACGGTTCTGGCCTAGCCATTTCTAGTACCTTGAGTACACATTCCTTCAAGGCTTTCCCTACAGTGCAGGTCCCACTCGGGTGAGTGAGATCCAAGTGACGATTTCTAGGACTCACCCCAATACTCATCATCACCCACAGCCTGGTCTTCACCTTGGGCTTTGTCGAGTGACCCAAAGCCCCAGCTTGGCCCTGTAGGCTCCCTTGCCCAGATCGCCACAGAAGCCGTGTTTGGATGGGTGGAGGAGGAACCTGGCCTGCTCCCCCTGCTGTGCCCTGTGTTTTGCTTGCCAGGGTCCAGGCCGCTGGGCAGATGCTCCTGGCTGGCTTGTCAACCTGCTACTCTGCTTCTGGAATGTTCCCTTAGGAGACCATCCCCCAAGGCCTGGCAGAGAGTTCCTTTCTGTCTGCCCCACACTCTCGTATCTCCCTCAGGTTCACCTTGCTCTCATTTTAAAATGTTTAGGAAGGGGTTGAGAGCTGCCCGGTTTACCATGGCTGGCCACAGCTTCCTTGGATGGAGAAGACCACTGGAGCCTGGCTCCATGCTATACTGCCTTAGCCACAGCCCCGGGCCAGAGGGAGGACATTCAATCCTTGGTTTCTTGGTTGAAGGGTCTCTGTGTGTGTGTATATATATAAATATAGATAGATATATATGCTAGAGATCTATATTTTTATGGAATTCTGTTAGAAAGAGTGAAACATAAGCAGATACTATTGGTATATCTTGAAGAGATGGTCAGTCTTGGCAGTGGGAGAGACACCAAATGCATTCTGACTAAGAGTTCCCTCTCTGGAGGCCATGGGGGACAGGGCCCAGTACCTGACAGTGACCTTGGAAATTGAATAAAAGACCCTTGACGGGGAAACAGGACTGTCTGAAGCAGTGTGTTCATTTATCTGGCATGCACACAATGGTGAGGAGAAGCCCCGAAGGCTGGCATTGGACAGGGAGGGTGATGGAGAGGAGGGTGAGGAGGAGGAAAAAAGGGCCAGCCTCCGAGAAGGTCTGGAGCTCCAAGAGGAAAGCCTTGTCGGGTGAGCAGGGAGACTAGGGGTCAGGGCCAATGCCTGGGAGTGCTAGGAGGAGGCAGAGGGAGCTAAGCAAGGGCTGGTCCTGGCTTGTGGCCTATCCTTCAAACAAGCCTGACCACTAGGGAACTTCTAAGATTGGGGGTGATTGGGCCACATCCAGGTGGACCTGCCTGCTGAGAAGCCCATAACAATGCATCTCAGTAATTATGTAACTTTACAAATATAAGCTATTACAAAACATGCACCAAATATTTTCAAAGAATGATGTAAGTTCCCAGGGAAGCTCTATTTTATCATGACCCCAAGGGATTGCCTGTTATACCCCCAGAACGGCAGCCCTCACCCCCACTCCCATGCTTTGAGGACGGCCATTACGTGACTTCCCCCAGAGGCCTCTGCTGCCCCAGGTTCCCACTGCAGCCAGCCTCCATCCCTACCCTTGCCAGTGTCACGTGACATTGGTAGCCTAGGGAGGAAGGGCTTTTGGGGGAGCCCAACTGTTTTTGGATTTTTTTTCCCCATTCAGTAATGGTGATATTGCACATTGAACCCAGGGCCTTAAGAAGGGCAAACGTGTGTGCTTTTTACCACTGAGCTACATCCCTAGCCCCCTCCCCACCTTCTTTCAAAGGCAGGATCTCATGTAGCCTGTGCTGGCCTGAAATCAGGATGTAGCCAAGATGACCTTGAATTCTGGATCCTCTTGTCTCTCCCAAGTGGACCAGCTTCCTTAGCTCTCCCCTCTTCCTCAGGCAGCTCACAAACTTAAGTGACTGACAGCTGACATCATATTACTTGTTACACGCCCGAGCCCTCAATGTTCTGCCCTTTAAGGCTGTCGTAGACACAATGGTGGTGTTGTCTGCCAGTCTAGGAGAGGGCCTAGGGGGAAGGGCGGAGGCTCAGCCTTCTATCTGAGAAAGTGTTGCCATGCTGACCTAGAACTAGTCAAACGTTGGAGGGTCAGACATTGGAGACTCACTGAATCCGGGCATTTCCTGACACCCACACCCACCCCATCCCTGCCCGCATTCCCGTCCACAGACCCTGTGCTCACCAGCTTTCATTAGAGAACAAAAAAGCCAGCTTCCTATTTAAACCCGTTGTGCCCGATAAGGGCGTAAGTCTGGGGACAAGACTTGAGGCTGCCCCCTGCTCCTTCACTCTGACCCTCTTAACCCACCTTCCACTTTCTAAGGCATATCCCCACCCCGAGACACACACACACACACACACACACACACACACACACACACTTGTGGGCGTCTCAATTAACAGTGTTAATCTGTGGACCCGAATATGAATGGAATTTCAGATGTCGCCACTCCAGCTCCTTTTGGGTGCCAGAGTGCTTTGTTGTACAAGCACCCTGACCGGGGATTCAAATATCATCACCATGCAGATATTTCTTGGCCTTGGGAAACAAGCCTCCCATTTGCCCACCCCACCTGCGGGCTCTTCCTCCCCTTTCCCTGAGCGGCCTCGAGGCCAGCCCCACAGTGCTGAGCCGGGGATCTTGGGGCTCGAGGAAGGTGCCTGGAGAATTCCTGCTGTGCCCTGCCAGGGGTCCTCTGGAACTGTCACCAAGTGCTTTCAGATGTAAAGAAGACAGGTTCCCTGGAGGTAATAATACAACGGGCGGGCGGGGCGGCGGGCAAGAGTTGCTCCGGGGAGCCCTAGGTCAGATACTTGGAAACAGACCTGGTACGAAAGCGGCCGTGACCTTCATTGTACCCTGATGAGGCAGAACAGTGACAACCGTGATTACCAACCAAGCCGGAACCCCTCTCTGTCCCCCCCCACACCCGTTGGGTGGCCTTGAGCACATTGCTGAACCTCTGTTCCTGTTTTCTCACCTGCAACTATTCGCGAACTAGCGCCTGCTTTGTGGATTATGGTTATGTAAGAACGGTTTCGAGGACTCGACCACCACCACACTGGCCCTCAGCCCCCCTCTCCCCTGCCCTACTCCTAAGGCACGATGCCACCCAGCACTCGGTTCTTGGGCCAGAGGGTCCACTTGGTCCCACTTGTTGTGTGGGTCGCTCGGCATCCTACAGGCTGGCTCCCCTTGGGGACGTGCATTGCCCTGATCCAGTCATTTGTGACAGAAACCACAGGACACAAAAGATAGCAGCTTATGTGACTAGAATTCTAGTCCCTGCTGAGATGCTCCACCGGCTAGTCCTTCCTAAGGCCGGGCCGCCTCCGTTTGATGGGTACAGCATGGATCCCTCTGGAGGGGCAGACAGGAGAGCACACCACCTTGGTCTTTGTCCTCATTACCTGTGGAGCGTGGTAGGTCCCTCTCCTCCTAGGTCTTCTCTTGGATGAAGGTGATGGAGACAAACCTAACACATATCCATGCCCAGCACTCAGCCACTTACATGACGCTGGACTCACAGTCAACTGCTCATCACCCCTTTGGTAGTCCATAGCCCTGTAGGGGGAGGCTCTGTCCCAAAGAGACTGTCATGTCTTACCCACCCTTGCCTGAGAATACAGGCTTTGTCTTCCGTCCTCTGTTATCCTCTAAAGACACAAAGAGCTCAGGGGCTCTGGAGAGGAGACACAAGCAATCTCTCACTGCCATGGTAGAAGGAAAATGGGCTCCTGGACACTGGCACCATGGGAGTCTTCTCTGACAGGGTCCTGGGAAGGCCGCACCAGTCCAGGGGCCTTGAGCACCTAGAAGGGCCCCCGCCACCATCACCATCAGTATCTCCAGGCTGTCTAGCAAGGAGACAAGACAGAGCTCCATGGTGCCCATCACCCGGCCCCTCTGAAGCTAGAGCGGTGTAGTTCCTTAAGCAAAGGTCACTCGAGAGGCTGTGGATTCCCCAAATACTAATGGAGCTCAGAAGAGGAGTATAAATAGACTACGGGAACTGTGTGTCAGGCTGTGGGACTCCAGAACCCTGATGTCCAGCTGACTGGATGGACCGTTGTGGGTCCATGTGCTGGTCCACAGGCTGGCGGATGGACTGGGCGTACACATGCATGGGAGAACCTATCCAGGTACGGATGGTCATCATCCTCCTGTTCTCCATCACTTGACCTTTCCCTCACTCAACTACGTCTTTAGACTTCGGCAAGCTGTCATTCATCACCTTCAAAACCACTATTTGGTTTTGAACCATTTGAGGTAAATATGTGTAGCGACCATGCCCCCTTTACTCTTTCACACTTTGGGGCGTCTTTCAAACCAAAGTTTGCTGTCTTCCCTTTGACCTGATGCTCTCAGCCAGTCCTCTCTCCATCCTCCCACTTTGCAGGAGTGCTCTGTACAGCAGTACTTCCTGGTGGCCAGCATCCCGGAATCCCTTCCGCTGTCCTCTCTCTGGTCTTTCAGTCAATACGGTTCCTCCTCCTCTCTACCTCCTCTGGCCATTGACATCCCCAGAGGTGGCAGCAGGTCTGACCTCAGGATAACCAGGAGACAAGGAGAGAAGCAGCTGCCGGTGGCTGAAGAAGTTGAGGAGCAGCAGAAGCCATGGTGGAGAGGACAGCAGAGAAGAGCTGCCTTGGGAACGGGGAGGGGGAGGGGATGGGTGCAGAGTGGGGAGCGGATGGATCTCTACACTTGGGTCTGGAGATGGCTGCCCGCTCTCAAGGGCAACAGGACGGCCGGAGCTCAGGCTCCATTCCATCCCCGTGCCTCTCCAATTCCAGCAGCTGAACTGGCTTCTTAGGATCCTTACAGTGATGCATGAGCTGGGACTTCCTGAGTGTCTGTTCCTAATCGACTGCTGATCACCCCTTTGATAGTCCACAAACTTGTGGGAGGTGGGGGAGGTTGGGGGGGGGGACTCTGTCCCCAAGAAAAAGATCATCATGTCTTACCTACTATTACTTAGTGGGTGACAGATACTAAGATTACGGGGCCTGTGCATGCTCTCTCTCCCCTCTCTCCTCTCTCCCCTCTCCCCTCTCCCCCTCCCCTCTCCCCTCTCCCCTCTCCCCTCTCCTCTCTTCTCTCTCTCTCTCTCTCTCTCTCTCTCTCTCTCTCTCTCTCTCTCTCTCCTTTCCATATTAAAAATATTAATCTAGGGCCTTGCATATGATAGACAAGTGCTCTACCACTGAGCTACCCTCAACCCCTCTCATATTTATTTGTGACAAGGTCTTAACTAAGTTTCCTAGGCTAGTCTTAAACTTGTAAGCATCCTGCCTCAGCCTCCAGAGTAGCTGAGACTACAGGCCTGTGCCTTGAGACCCAAATTGGATATATATATATATAAATATATATATATTATAAAGTTACACATCCTAGTCTATAAACTACGTTAGAAATGTGTACCGTCACCATTAGGATCTTCATCTATGAGACAAAGGGACACTTGGGCCACCTGACAATTGTCAGAACCTTTGCTTTTATGTTCACCCAAGTATACTGTTGTTCTCAGTATACTATTAAAACCCTTGAATAATGTGGCCACTGGAGAACCTGTCTGGAGCCGCAAGCATAGTTCCCCCCACCCCCCACCCAGTTCCTGTAAGGAGAAGGTGGAGCAGGCAGGCCCTGAATCCAAGCCTGGAACCTTCCCCTTGGGCTTGGTAGACTCCACATATGCTTGGCTAAAACCAAAGGGTCTGGGAACCTCAGCCAGGAGTCAGGCCCCTGACTGTCTTACTTAGCAAGAACTATCAACCCCTGCCAATGTGCGAGGCTCCAGCTTCCCCCAGAACACTTTCTGTGCTGTGCCTTCCTATTCTCTAACCCTTAGCCAGATGCCAAAATGAATCCATCTTGTCCTCAACAGCTCGGAACAACCTCCTCCAGCAGGACCCTGTTCCTTAAAGCTACCAGTGTTTCAGTTCAGATGTTGGTAGCTGGCC